CCCGTAAGTTCAGAAGAAAATGCTGCTGAAGCAGTTCTGGGTCAGATGCATAAAGCTTTTATGGCTGTAATACCTACGCAATTACTGGAATTGCATCTTGTGTATAAAACCTCCCGTGGGGTTTCTACAGCTGCTGATGTTTGGGATGTTGATTTTAACATCCACTGGACAGCCATGGCAGCAGAAAGGATGCCAGAAGTCAGTGCTGGAGCATGGGTGTAGCCCACTGCTTGCCCAGCTCCATCAGCGAGCCATATGGCAAAGTTTACAGGAACACTTGTATCAAGTATGATAAGAATACAGTCCTCTTTGGTTTGGGATTTCAATGAGATGGCTTGAAAAGGTGAGGTGGCTGTCAGAGCTTTGCAAGTGTCTGTCCTAGGTAAATAGCACAGGACCTGGAAGATCTTAAATCATCAGCTGGGATTGGCACAGTCTGGTCCGAAGTCTGTATGAGATGGAAAAGCTGTTTCCCATCAGTGTTGCTACAAACAGAGATTTCTGCAGGCTGGGATATGATAAATAAAGCTTTGAGATGGAGCCATGCGGGTGATAGTGGGTCAATGCAGAAAATTGGATGTCTGAGTTAGAAAATCAGCCACGGTGTTTCAGAAATCTGAATAAAAGGAGACTTGAGGATAACGCTCATGAAAGATTAAGCTGGGCTTGAAAACCTGTTAGTGTGGAAGAAAAACCTCCCTGAGCTGCAGGTCTGCTGTACGTCACATCCAGCGTGTGGGCCAGCTGATGCTTTTACAGCACTGGTGTCACCACAGAGTACAGCAGGATTTTTTTTCCGTGGGTACCTGCAAGGTCCTATTGAAAGAGGCAGGTTTGCAGTGGAATGGTGTCTGTGCTCCAGGCCATACCACTTGTGTATCAGTCCAGTCTCCTAAAGAGATGGTAAATCCCTTCCAGAAGGGGGTATTGCTGTCTAAATGCTGAATAATTAACAATGGAGGGACTTTTGGTGCCGGGAGTGCCTGAGTCTCTGCAGTCCTTAAAAGTGGTTTGGTTCCCCAAACTCAGGTTATTTGGGAACTTTAATGCATTCTCCCAAATACTGGATTTTTTTTTTATTTTTATTTTTTTTTTTCCCAAAATGTCTGTTGTTCTTCCTTTTCCTCTCACAGAGGAATTAATCTAGAAAGGCAGGGACGCTGCCTGCAGCCTCCACGGCATGTCCCTGACATCCTGAGAGCACCTCTGTCCTGGTGCTCCTGGAGGATGACTGTCCCCATGGGTGGGATTTCTAGGAACACCATCCAAACCAAGGGTGCAGAGCCTTTGGGGTTTGAATGTCCTGATGGGCATTCTCTATCATTTGACTCCACATCCTTAAATCTCTTGGTATTGAGGTGAGAGGGTGCAGCATTAAAAACCTTAATGTATTTACTGAAAGTGCGTCATTTGCTATAGTGGCAATACCATGGTCCATCTGAAGAGTGGAT